TGTCGTGTTTTGTGTCAAATTAGTTAATTGGTTCACGGGGCTTCAGCATTGCCGTCACTACTGAGAGCGAGGTCAGGGTACAGAGATTCCAAAACACAGTTAGGCTTAGAGAATCAGGAGGTCAATCAGGCCAGAATCAGGCGGACATGTATACAGGAAAGTTGGATAAAACTCACAGATTGCTCGTCATACTTTGGCAGTAGTGACTGGTGTGAGAGCTGATTATCTAGTCAGGTGAGCAGGTGAATCTGATGGAGGCTGATTGGGAGCAGAGTGGACCTGACAGGTGTGTTGAATGATGAATCAATCCAGCACTAGTTCCAAGAATCGTGACACCTGATTTGATATACCGTAAATCCTCTAATATAGGACGGGGCCTTTACTTCACTCAGGTACATCTTGGTCCAGGCCATTATTGAAAGGAGGTCAGAATTAGAGGCAGGCCTCTATTTTTATTTGATCAAAACAGACTACCAATGGAATGAATAAAAACGAGATTTTGTGTCTCTTTGAACCTATAAAATACTAGGTTCATTTATTAAAAAAGTACAGTTACCATAACGGTATACAGAACATTATTCAGACATCTTCCAGCAGCTGCAATTTTTTCTACACGGCAATACGAAGAAAAAAAAGACACAGAATGGAATCTTGGCCAAACTGACTAATGTTTTTTTTTTTTATAATTGGAAACTGTTCTGCCATCACAGCGAAATTTTATTTTAGGCAGGCTAAGTGCGAGAAGGCTATCAGTATCATATATTTCAAGGGAAATTCAGAACAACGAAGGCCAGCGGAATTCTATCATTCTAACGCTGCCTGGTTACCACCAGACCTACCGCTAATCACATTTGTCTTTCAGATCAGAATTATTGTGTAAGGCTACTACGATCTCTGTGTAAGGATTGGACATCCCATGCTAATGGCTTGGATTCGTTAGCAAACATTGCCCTCCTGTGGTACTTGTATGTTACTATCACAAGTTGTTGAGGACTGCCCAGGAACATCGTTGGTTCTAATTATAGCCCTGGCCTGTATACCAGTACGGCCATTATTTAAGGCCGCCGACAGCCAGACAGGCCATTGTTAGAGAACCGGACGCTAATGGAATACAGGCCAATATTAAAGGATTTACTGTAGTTTTTCAAGCTGTGAACTCTGACATCTGCTGCTGGGTCAAATTGGTGTGACAGAGTTCTTAGACTTAGACAGGTTTATTGCGTCATTTTGTA